GGAGTTTGCTTTTTCCCTCCCCTTGCAGAGATACCCTTCAGTAATCTGTGGGAAACTAAGATGAGATGGAGATAATTAAATATGAAAGAATATAAATATTCTTACTCTCCATGTTACAGAACAAGAATATGACTTTTCTGATGCAAGTATTAGGGATAGTTGGTTCCCCTTCTAAAAATGAAGGGAGGGAGGCAGGGAAGGAGGAAGGAAGAAGGCAGGAGGGAAGGCAGGAAGGCAGGAAGGCAGGAAGGCAGGAAGGCAGGAAGGAAGGAAGGAAGGAAGGAAGGAAGGAAGGAAGGAAGAGTCTCGACTGTTCTACAATAGATTTATTTAGTTTCTGTGATGGCTTTTTGTTGTTGTTGGTTGGATTTTTTTTTTAGGGAACAAGTATTTGAGTCAGTTCCAAGGCAGCTCAAAAGGCTTCTACTTGTCACATTTCTGGTCTATGAGCTCAAAGACTTCCAGGGTTACACAACAATGACTAAAACTGAAAACCTTTCAGACCTTTTCCAAAATGAAGTGGGAAACTGAGGTGATTGCTAAGCCAATGCCAGAGAGGGATCCACTTCCACGTGTGTGGAATTGAGCAGAGAGGACCCAGCTTCATTTGGAAGCTTCGAATTGTCTTCTTTTTGATTTAATCTCATATTCAGAACATAATTATTCTGGAACCAAGATCTTCACATTGTTTTGCTTAATGCTTTACAAACAGACTGTTGACTGAAGTTGTCACTGAACAAAAATTTGCTTCTACATGTTTACATAATGGGAAAACACAGTCATAAAATGGGTGTAACAACAACTCGTTAGGTATTAGGTTAAGGTGCAGTACAGGAATTATCCCCATAAAACGCTAAACCCTAAACTCAAAATATCACAACGAAGTTTCAGGTTACACTTACTGAAAGCCTTTAAAAGTCTCTAAGCCTTAACATGATGCTTAAAGCTTCTGAGAGAGCTGATGACAATCAAGAGTTCTTCTTGTACAACTGCTCTGTTCAAGAGGAACCAGATTAAGATGATAAATATAATACAAAGGCTTGATTCTACTATTGTTTGCTTTGTTGTAACTCTTAAATGGATGTAATTGGGTGCTGAGTTTGTTCCTAGTTCTGCCACTGCACTACTTTATGGCCTTTTAAACCAGTGTATGTACTTACCTTTATCTAATCAGGGTGGGAATTTCAGAGATACCAGTTTGGGGGTCCATGTGCTGACCCTACGAACACAGCTCTGTGCAGCAGCAATGCTGCAGTACACAACACAGTAAGATCCTAGCCTTGGCTCAGATAATTTGCTCAGAGTATTTGCTTATTTTCTGAACTCTGAGACTGATTCATAAAGAAGACCTTCTGAACTCTCTCTGGCATTTACCCTAATGAAATCTTTGAGATTTCTTAATTACTCTCTTCCTTCTATCCTGCCTAACTTTGCTGCTCAATTTTTATCTCTAATAAGCCAGTGCGTAGGGGTTAAATATGCCTATATGTATGGTTACTAAAAATACTGTAAATTTCCATGCACTTCTTGCTCTGAAAGACAGGATAGTATGCAAGAGGAGGCTTATAATGTGTACAAACATGCCCAGAAGCAAAGAGGGGAAAATAAAACACATACAGAAAGTAAAAGCAAGACAAAAAAGGGTGAGGGTTTGTGATTGTTAGAGGAAGGTGAATACACTTCCTGGCAACATCTGAGAATCATTTACAGCAACTGATCCATGAGCCTTAGTGAGTAGAGAATGTTTTTAAATCCTCCCCCATCCTCTTTGTTAATCTTTACCAGGTAGTAGGGTCTTTAATGCAATTCCTATGGGCATCTCGGGATGTGTAAAATATTTTGTCCGTTTTGAAAAATAAGATATTTGACATGGCTCCAAGATTGAGATGCAGAAGCCTGGTTATAAGTCTGTGGTCTTCTCCTCTTTAAACTCAGGTAGTAATAATAGCCTTCAGACTGCTCTGCAAAAGGCAGAATGTCTCCATAGAGCAAGCGATGAACATCTGGTCTCAGTGCCTCTTGGTTGAAATAGGAAAATCACTTTCAAAAGTGTCCCCATGAATGAAGTGCAGATCGTAATACAAGCTTACATAATTCAGGAACATTGAAGGATGTTTTTTTTTTTTAAACTTAAAACGTTCTGAGCAACATCAGACAATATAAAAGAGTTATTAATTATGATGCATGATTATTATTGCACTCAGGAGACTTGAAGAGGTAGCCTGGAAAAGTTCAGATTTGGCTCACCTTTAAGCACACCCAAAATACTGGGCAACATTTGTAGATGTTTTTGAGTGACTGAGGAGGCTATTTCCTAAGACTTTCAAGCACATTTGGGATTTCAGGTCATTTGGGGCACGTCTCCACTGTGCAATGCCAAATGGCTCTGAGCAAGCCAATTTTCAACACGATGGAGAAAGATTAACTGAGAGCAATATATGTGTTACTTTTCCTCTGCACTGATTCTATTCTAATCCACCTAGCTCCAGGGGTAGATTATTTGGTTCTGGTTGAAAAGGCTCTGCATCATGTTTCTTCTTCTTATAGATCTACTCTCTCTATATCATATATTATATATTACATATTATATGTTAAATGCTATATATGTTGTATGTTATATATATATATATGTTATATGTTATATATTATTTTGTATATTATGTTATATATTTATTATATATTATATTATAGGCATACTCATGCAATTGTTTTGCAAAATCCAGTCCAGCATCTGACTGCATGGCTTCATTTACACCAGTCAGAACCCCACCTGAGGCACTCACAGGAATATATATATAACCACCACCTGTACTTAAGAGGGACCCTAAGTAGGGTGGGATCTTAATGCATGAGGAATCACAAAGTTCTCTCCAGTGCATCATGGACTACTGTACAATTTGGGTGGACTTTTCCACTTAGTTGCATGTCTGACAGTCTATCGCTGTTGCTAACACCATCAGTACTTAAAGATGGTACCAGCAAAACACCATTTCTGAAATATGATTATTTGCTGAAGGCAACAGCAGCAAGTGGAATCAACTCAGTAGTCTTTTTTTCATGAACTGGGAGCTCTGTTTAGAGCAGCAAGATGTTTGTGAGTAATTTAAAGGCACGCTCGTCCGAAGCAGTCAATAAGAAAAACAGCATAACCCTTGGTATGTGTTGTGTACAATGACATATTGACTCCTGCTTACAATGTGCTTCATTTTCACACCTCACATCATGAGCTTCTTAAAACAATTGCACAACAGTTTCTAGCTTTTGTTTGTTGTTAATTATGACTTATAAGATGTTAGGTCAGGAGTCGTCAATGGACTAAGCTAAAGTGTTTGTTTAAAGCAATGAGTAAAGCAAGTCATATGAATGTTTCCAAAGACTGTATTCCAAGAAGTATTTTTGGAAACATTAATGTTGTGTTTTTTAATGCAGGCCACATTCTGAGGCTACGACACCATATGTCACATTCATTTCTGTACTGAAAAGAAAAAAAAAAAAGAAAAGAAAAAAGAAATGGAAACTATGTTTGGCTTTTAAGTGTTTTTGGAATAGTGTCTATGCATGCTTGTCATTGTTACTTGGATGGGAGAAGCTTTCTCAGTCTGTTAATCTAGTCCATCCAATGTATATTACACTCTATGGGCCTGACTCTCTTCTGCCTTAAACTGTGTGCAGTCATTTATACGTTTGCAAAGTGAATGAAGAGCTGAGAAAAAAAGACTACGGCTGGGAATCATTTTTGTAAATTCATTTTCCATGAATACTCTGGCTTCATTGTATGCCTACATCTGAACTCTTCTCACATGAAACCAGCTTAAAAATGGGAATAGTCTTTGCCATTTTTCCACTGAAAGCTTACAATTTTGGAAAATGAGAGTTTTTCCTCAAAAAGTGGTACATGCTTTGGATTTTTCAGCATTATATGTGTTAGGGGTTGGGATATAGTAGAATGAGTTGGAGAGCCGTAGGAAAAGGCATCTGCTTTTTTCAGTGCTGTATCCTACAAGTAATTCATAAGCATCCTGTATCACTTCAGCTAAGTCCTTGCTTTTTAATGGATTTCAACTGACGAGGTCTCAGTTTCTAACACAAACTCTTGTTATTAGTCAATGAATGCACAGCCTGGCACGTCATACTGCTGAAATTCATACGGTTACAATCTGCCAAGACATCAATTTTTTCTCTGATCTGACAGAGGAATCTCCTAATTCACATCACTTTCTAAAGCTGTGTCATCCACACATTTTGTTAGCGCATGTTCGTTCCGAATTTGTTAATAAAAATCTAAACACTTCTTGGCAACCGGATTTTTGTTGTTATTGTTTTAAGGAATTATTTGTGAGGGTTTGCAGGACCTCAGAGAGGTTTCTTTTTCACGTGGGCTGCAAATATATTTCTTTAGCTCTAGATCAGTAAAAAGAAATCGCTTGACCCATCTTTTTTTCTGTGCCATATTGAAATATCAATAATGACAAATGTGTGGTTGAAACATTTTCTGGTTAAAGCTGAACTTGTCAGTCCATGACACTGTATTCTATGGCTGAATGAGAACGTTTACCTAGGCATTTCTTCTAGAGTGGGAAAACAAACACAGAACAAAAAGGAACAACTGACTAAATGCCTAAACTGACTAAAGGAGCAAGCCTAAATGCTTGGCTACCTTTCAGAGAGCTCATGCCATCCCTGTGAGTGTTCATGAAAGCCCATCCTGATTTGATTGCTACTTCACCAGAACTTTGGAAGAGATACAGTGGGGTTACCACAAAAGTTTTGGATTCTGCTTACATCTAAATAACAGATTTTAAGATTGATGTGGACATTTCTAGCTGGTTGATTTTCTAGCTGAATTTCTGAGTTTTTGAGCTATATGGTGTAATCAGTGTCAGAGTTTGTACTCTTCAGAAAATTGCTCATGATGGCCAGAGAGTGTATTTAGTTTTAGTTTTACAGAGTTTGGCATACGAAATTAAAAACAAAAATGAACTTTTTCTTTTATTTCATAGATTTCCAATGAACAAAGGAAACAAATAGCCCCTGGGACCACAAGTGTGTTTTGTAAACTGATGCCACGAGGCAGATATGAGAAAGATGACTGAACAGAGTGGTTGCTATAGGCCTGTAAACATACAGGGAAATAAGATCAGTTACAAAGGCTCTTGCAAAAAAAGCCCAGAAAGGGGGATGAAAAGACAGCAGAAGCGGTTTCTCCACAAGGATGGCAGCTGCAATGTGTACTTCAAACACATCTTTGGGGAATGGGAGAGCTACGTGGTGGACATATTTACCACCCTGGTGGACATCAAGTGGCGTCACATGTTTGTCATCTTCTCCCTGTCCTACGTTCTGTCATGGCTGTTCTTTGGACTGGTCTTCTGGCTGATAGCAATGCAACACGGAGATTTATTGAATGATGAAGAAACAACGCCCTGTGTTGCAAATGTCCATAGCTTCACGGGGGCATTCCTGTTCTCCCTCGAAACCCAGACGACCATTGGTTATGGTTACCGCTGCGTTACAGAGGAGTGCTCTGTGGCAATCCTGATGGTTATCCTGCAGTCAGTACTAAGCTGCATTATAGACACTTTCATCATCGGAGCAGCCTTGGCTAAAATGGCCACGGCTCGAAAAAGAGCCCAAACCATTCGTTTCAGCTACTATGCTGTGGTAGGCCTGAGGGATGAGAAATTTTGCCTGATGTGGCGCATCGGCGATTTCCGACCAAACCACATGGTGGAGGGCTCTGTACGAGCTCAGCTCCTGCGCTACAAGGAAGACAAGGAAGGAAGGATGACAATGGAATACAAAGACTTGAAGCTGCTGAATGACCAGATCATACTTGTTACACCAGTGACAGTAGTGCATGAAATTAACAGTGAGAGTCCTTTGTATGGTCTGGATCGCAAAGCTTTGGCCAAGGACAACTTTGAGATCTTGGTCACATTTGTCTACACAGGGGATTCAACAGGGACTTCACATCAGTCAAGAAGCTCATACGTGCCCAGAGAGATTCTTTGGGGCTATAGGTTTAATGATGTCTTACATGTAAAGAAGAAATACTATAAAGTGGATTGCTTGCAGTTTGAGGAAACTACAGAGGTTTATGCTCCTCACTGCAGTGCCATGCAGCTGGACAGGAAGGAGCAAGAATGGAATCGAACAGAGAAGATGCTGGAAAAAGAAGCAGAGACATCAGTGACAGAAATCAAATCATTAAGTGAAAACCAGAAATCATTTAGTGCAGTTGCCCTCATCACTAGTTGTGAAGATCCAGAAGACTCAGTGGCAACTGTCAGTCAGCCTTCTGGAGAAGCATCTTATCAGAAAGCAGCTGTGACCTTAAGCAGGCTATCGCTGGAGTCACAAATCTAGCTTTTCACTGCAATTAAAATCAGTTCCAACAATTTCTCCTAGCATAGCTTTTAGAGTATAAACAATGAACTCATGTGCACAAGTATTTACATTATAAGCCTCACGCTGTCAGCATGCCTACATTAAAATACTGCTAAAAGGAGCTTCATAATGGTTAGTGTGGGTATCAGTAACAGATTAGTGCTGGCACAAGAAAACAGCTTATATTTGGGTTGACTAGACAGCTACTGTGCTTGAGCAAACTTATTCTAAACTTTATTACCCTGGAGGGACTAATGTTGAAGACACCCAGAGAGAGATAATGATCTATGCAGAGAACTAGAACAATGCAGCGTGCCCTCTAGGTCAGACATTTCAAAACTGCCTAACTTACTTGGGAGTTCAGTTCCCTGCCCCTCTGGGAGGCTCTGAAATTCCCCTACTATCACAGAAAGTGATTGCTCTTGTGTGACAATTGCCCCTCTCTGGCAGTTCAGGTGAAGCCCCTTTCCTGGGGTTGCACTGGGGAACATGCAGGGCTGTTCTATGTAAGAGGGAGAGAACTGGCAGTACTGGAACCCAGTGTTACTGAAGTAGCTTTGAGAACCTGCTTATACCTTCAGTTCTCTGAGATACCCAATGAGATCCTGCAGAGCTTTTCTCATTTCTTTGTCATGAGCTGCTCCCACTAATGCCACAGCCTCACAATTCAATCTATGCGCTCTGTCAGCTGCATGCTATGGTGCTGCATGCAGGCTTGGCTCTGTCAGCAAGGAAGGCTGGTCAAATGGGTTCCTTTGCACTCTTCAGAAATCAAAATAGAATCTCGAGCCTGAGATGAAAATCAGCACAATCGTGTTAAGCCTCAGGACAGAGCAGCCTGGTTTTAGAGGGAGCTTTGCCATTCTTAACATCAAAATGCCTTTTCATTTCAGAATGCCAGTCTTGCTTTTGCTTTTATTGTGTTACACTGCTTTAGAAAGAAATCGTTAAATCTAGAGACCAAAAGGCATGATTTTGTCAAAATGAAATATGTTTATTCATCTGAAATGACTGTAAAAATGATCCTTTGCAGAGAAATTCAACACACTCAGCTGTCAGCTCCATTTGCAAAAAGAAAAAGAAAGAAAACGTCAGCGTTTCGAAGTTGCCATGACATGGAAGTTCCATGCCCTGCACACCTCTGTTATCCAATACACAATATCTCATCATGCTTTTTTTTCCCCCTGATGACGATCACATCTAATTTACGTTATGTTTCATTATCCTGCTGATGTAAAAGTTATTGACTCTGAATTTATGGTTGCCTAAAATGGAATTTATCTCACTTGACCTTAGCCACCAAGAGGTGAAGTATCACCTACTGGCCAAGGCTCTCTGTAGTTGCTGTAACTTTGCTCTGTCTTCACAGAGGACTCCATTCCATCCCCACCTGAGTGGTTGGGGAGCTGAAGGCAATAGGATGGTATTATCCCGGAAGTGCTCATCCATCCCTGTTTGTTGTTGAAGGAGATGAGATGACTGTTTTGGAAATGCTGGCTAACTTTAAGCAGTTAAAATTAGGTCTGATGAGTCACTCCCATCGTGCTGACTAATTCAAAGTTTTTATGAGCTAATCACATTTAATGAAAAGAAAACCAGCAGACTGATTGCTTTTTCCTCTCCTCTCCTCTCCTCTCCTCTCCTCTCCTCTCCTCTCCTCTCCTCTCCTCTCCTCTCCTCTCCTCTCCTCTCCTCTTCCTCTTCCTCTTCCTCTTCCTTTTCCGGAACTTACTGCATTATTTTAATGTATCTTGCATTTCTTTCTGCTCACACTTGTACAAGTTCTGGATGCTACATGATCCCCTTTGGGTAAAATCAAGCGTATTAAGAAGCCTGAGTGGAGGTTGTTATTCTTAAGCTCATTAATTGGCCCTTTTCATGCACAAGCATCACTAGCATCAAAAGAGAGGGATACTCTGTATCTGGTGGACAGGACAGAAAGATGTGGGCTTAAACTGAAGCCAAACAGATGGAAGGTGGAGTTAGGGAGCACTGCTGCAAAGAAGGCAGGACAGGCTGGGGGTGTGTAATCTTGGTGCAGGTGGATATAGGTAACTCTACTTAGAGATTTGAGATACACAACCTCAATTGCCCAGTTATCTTCAAAAGGGACACAGTTCAGGTGCTGTTTGTAAAGGCAGTTTCCCTTACCAAGCTGTGAACTGCAGCTTTCCCTCTCCCAGCAATGCACTGTGTGAGCCTCTTGCGGTGAAGAAAATTCTTTCCTTGGAATGACTTTCCTGTAAGTGAAAGTACCAGGAGCCTGATTTGGCATTTGGTCACATGCTTCTTGGTATAGATAGACATAAATACGTGAGTGTGTATAGTAATGTATGCTTTGGCATATAAGTCAACCACTAACTGATGAGGGTCAGGAAGAAACTTTTCTCCTGGGCATGTTAATTCGTAACAGGCTACTATACAGTTTCTCCTACTTTTATCTGCAGCATCTGATACCAGCCAGTGCTGGAGACAGGATACTCTTTGAACCACTGCTCTCAACCCGTCTGGCTTTCTCTGGATTTCTCTGTTTGATATTTTAATTTCATTTATCAGAGTATAAAAAAAGATGTATTATAATGTATAGTAAAGCATGTGTTGCATTTTTGTGAATAAAGAAACAGAAATAAAGAACATGCCTCTACCGCACACACCTTGTGAGAGCACATGTTACTTTCCTTCCATTCGGTCACTGTTTTAAGCTCCCACAGCTTATACACTCAGAAGTCATAGGAAAGGTTATAAGGTGCAGAGTAGGCTTTTGACTTTAAAAGATGCCAAACCATGAGCAAAACCACAAAGTTATAAACACGTTTTGCTGCAGCTTCTTAACGTGAATTCTGCTTATTTGGTGGAAGGAGCCACACATAAATTCTAAGTTCCATGTGAGTTCCCAAAGCCCACCACACAGACATCCACATGCACACCTGGTGCATAGTATTTGCATCTAGAGCTTGCAAAGCAGTACCCTCACCTGATGAAGGACATCTGAGAGTGCCAGGTGGATAAAATGGGAACGAGATGGAGGAGCACTAAGTGCAGAGAATCCTTTAAGTACGTTTAGATAGGGCCAGTCCTCTTTGTCTAGGGGAGGATCTAGGAAAGACACTTGCAGTATGCTGTTGTACTGTGATTTTGGGTGAGTAGAAGGGAGAATTTTCCACATTCATCTGCTTGCTCTGGATGAGGGTATTCTCCAAGGTTTCTCCGTCTTTCTTTCATTCATCCCCCTTGCAGAGCAAGCAAGCTTCTCAGAAACCCAGCAAAAGCAATACATGCATTGTCATGGCAGAAAACCAGCCCTAATCCTCAACTCATTCCCACTGAAATGGACAAAACAACCCAGAAAAGTGCCTGGCTGCATTACAGGTCGGGAGCTGAAGTGAAGCACGAGCACCCTCCTGCTCTCCCTTCAAGAGAAAGCCAAAGCGTTGGGTTGAAGCTCTGCTTCTTCTTCCCAGCCACCCAGAGGCAGCGGTTGGCTGTTCCTCCTGCCTTAGCTGGAAGCAGTTCATTCTGTTCTTGATTCGTCCACAGCATTTACCAGATGAAGCAAAATGTGAGCAACAAAGAGAAAATACAAACCAGCGAGTGCTGGACTCCTGTATCGTGATTATAGCTGTGTCTCAGTTATTTTCTATTGGAGAGCAGCAGTATTGTTCTGGGTCAGAATAAGTTTATGACAAAGGGAATATAATACAAGATCATTCTATAATTTATTTTTCCAGATTTGCCTACCACCATTCATTAAGGCAGCTGGCATTTCCTTCCCCGTTATCATGTATCATTATGCGTCATTTAGTGCATATTTCATGTGAAGCTGATTTTCAGATGTGGGACATAATACACATCCCTTCATTTATTCCTTGTTTCTAAAACACTGCACGGGAGGTCTGACTTGAGTTGCCTGTCTAGCAAAAGCATTACATCGGTACGGTTACACTCGGTTCAGGAGATAAGAGGCACAACTCAGCGTATCAGAAGTGCTTGTGTGGGATGCAACATTTGGTTGTAAGCCCTTTTTAGCTCTTAAATCTTCACTGGTTTCCAGCTGGGAACCTGCAAGCAGGGAATTGGTGTCTCTGTGGTGGGCCCAGGGGGCAGCTGGCAGTAAATTCACTTCCACTCAGACAGCAGGAAGCAGGACAGAAATGAAACAAGAATGAAACAATGAGCATTTATAGCTTTAGTCTGGGCTGCAAAGCGTGGATCAATGCTTTCACGGGCCCTAAAGTCACAGCACTTCTGGAATTTAAATCTTTCCAGTCTGAATGGTTGAGAGGGAATCAAACAAACATCGGGAAAAACCTGCAGCGGGTCCAGTCATTCCAAGCTCCCTAGAAAGCCAGGAGATTTGGGAAGCTGTGACACTGCCTGCCGTCAGTCAGCCTTTCACGCTCCTCAATCCGCAGTTACCCGGCACTATCGGAAGCCCCCGCGCCCCGACCCCCCGCGGCAGCGCCCACCCCGTTCCGCCGCTGCTGCCTCACAGCGCGGCCGCGCCGGGGCACTTGAGCGCCACCTGGTGGCCGCCAGTGGAACTGCCGCATCGCCCCCCCCGCGCAGGGCCCTGTCCCGCTGTTGCGGTGCGTGGCTTGGGGTGGATGGAGGGGGACGACACGACGGCCCTGCGCTCACAGACGGGGCTTCCCACTGGGTTCTGCTACGAGCAGAGGGCCATAAGTTCGACTGAACCCTACATATCTCTCTGTATCCTTTTCCAGCACTTGTTCAGGGGTCAGCTTTACGGTGCTACCTGAGACTTAAAATAATTCAGGAGGCACAACTGCTGTCCACGGAAATTTGTTCCTCAGCCATCCCTAAATGGCACGTGGAAACCTGTTGGCAACTTTAACGTTCCTAGTACTGCCGGACCATCCCATCCAAACCTGAGTTTAGGGCTTCCTATAGTTGCCCATTCAGGCTCTAAAGCCGACTCAGAAAGCAAAGAATTTTGGTATAAAAATTGATATGACATATGCTCCGTCCAGCTGATTTATTCTATATCATTCCTCTTTATATATAGAAGCAAAAGCTGAGAGGTTGCTCGATTTGCCAGCTTAGGTATATATAGCCAGTCAAAACTGGCTACACTCCACTAGGAACTTTTCAAATAGGGCAATGATCTATTTGTGGCCAAAGATACTTAACTTCGAGAGGTATCAGTGACAAGAAGCAAAAAAGCTGTTGTTTGTTTGGGCCGGGGATCGTGTGTGCGTGTAGAAAGGCAACGCTAACATTTATTATGTAAAACTACACACAGAAGAGCTCCAAAATAGAAATGCCTTAATAATTATCTCATATTCAGTGCCATGTCCACTTCTGAACGCACATTTTCCATTGAACAGCTTCGTGCGTTCTCTCACGCATGGGAGTAGCTCCAATGAAACATCTGCTGAGCCATCTATATCATCATCCTCCTTCACATCCTTTCTTCAGGCTCTCCTTCGCAGCAGTGCGTGGAAGAAGCTCCACAAGTGTCAGGCAGCTGCTCTGCTGCGACTACTGGGCATTGTGTCTGCTTCCCCATCTTTGATCACAGGGTGTCTCTCAGACTTGCCTGACAGGGCAGGAACTATTTTTGGTCCGATGTTCATTCGGTATGATTCGTGCTCAGCCCAGGTGCCAAAATGAGCTGGCAGCCTCTATGTGACCATTGTGCAAAGCAGCATAGAGAGGAGACGGTCCCAGAGCTTCCCCGGTGTCACTGCTGCTTGCTGTGGCTTGAAATGTGTCTCCTGGGTGGGGTTGCCTTTTGGGTGTGTTGTAAGTTTTCAAAACCTCCACTGATAAATGTTTCATTGAGATAAGCGTGCCCTGAGAAGGGTGTGAAAAATAACTTGAGTATAAGCGGGCAGGTCTCATTTCAGGTCTTCAAGTGGAAATCAGAACAGCCCCTGGTGAGTGTACTACAGGGGAGGCTTCCTTGCACACCCGGGTCAAGGGCCTTACTCATGTTGAGTAAAGGTGACCCCACCAAATTCAATAGGACAGCTTCCAGAGTGACCTGTGGTGGGATGTGAGCCTGGCAGGAGTCCTCTGGTAAGTACTTCACTGCAGATGTTTCATTACTTGCTGTGCGTACTGCTGAAAACTTTTTCTCCTCAGTGATCTCATTTTTCCATAGGCAAAAAGTCCACCTTTCCCTTGCCATTGGTGTCATGTAAAAGGGCACAGCATGGTGTCACTCCTCAGCTGGCAGCCACTCTGCTTGGAAGGCACATAACCATAAGCTCACTGGACACTATTTCTCTTTCCTTCCAGTTTATCCTTCTTTTTAGAAGAGCACCAGGAGAAATATCAAATGTAGTCCTTCTGAATCCTACTTTAGCCCTTCTGGATCCCCCACAGCCACAAGCTGTTTCCCAAAACCCTCCAGCAAACCTCTGGCTGGTAGGACAGAAGACCAAAGATGTGCAGGGATGACTGTGAAAGCCTTACACTGGCATTGGCAACCTGCAGGAAGCTGGGTGCCAAGCTCTAGCAGGGAAAATCTGTCACATACGAGTGCATGTGTCTACACGTGTGGATGTGGGACTGAAATAACTCCCATCACTTTCCTTATATCAGCCTTAATAAGTGGGGCAGCGCCTACCAATTCCATCTCAAGTTTCCTCCCTCTGAAATATGTGCACTTTCACCAGCTGATGTTTGGCACAGGGTAATTACTATAGTGCTAATTTTACCAGAGATGATGAAAACACTGAAACAGCCTAACCATATGAAGGGAGGAGATGCATATTGCTGATTGCTGAGTCTTCTGGATCCTTTTTGAGCATGGGAAATCATGTATTTGACTTGTAGATTTTCTCCTTGGGGAGGCTTCTTCTTACAGAGCTAGCTGACACACAAGTGGGGTTAGAAAAGAGCAAGGTCAGGGATAGTTGTGTGTTGGAAAATAAAAAGCACTGAGCACTGAAGTGTTGCCTTGTAGTAAATTACCTTACACAGATTAAATTACTCAAACAGATCTGCTTCTTCTCTTTTCTCTCCTGTGAGAGAAGCCACTTCCAAACACCAAAGGCACAAAGATGCTTGAAAGTCTTCTATTTCTCTCTGGTCCTTCCAAAAAGATTCAAAGTCAATTGAAATGTCTAATGAGGATTCAGAGCAGATATTTATTCTATCCAAACCAGTTCAGCTTGAAAAAATTAGAGTGAAGTATGGTTGGAGGAAAAGCAATTTGCCAGAGCCTGAAGAGTGTGAATAATGAAAAGCAAACAGCTCTCTGCAGCACTCACTTTTGCTTTCAAGTCAAAGGGTTTATATTTATTGTGCTCCCACCCTGCCTTTACCTGGTGACCAGAACTGGGAATGGTGATGAAGGAAAGCTGAGCTGGTTGGTGGTTTCCAACTTCTGAAAATGTGCAGGAGACTTCTTAACAAAGCACCCAGAAATTATGGGCACTGCTGGCACTCCATCCTGGAGTCACCCCATTAGGAAGGGCTGAACAAAACTGGTCCACTGAGCCCTGTTCTATTGCTCTACTGTACGGAGGTTTTTGTGTCACCTTTGCTGTCAGGGAACACAAGCACCTTGCAGAAGCACAGCAAGCAACACAGCGAGGCTGTGCTCATTCTCTTCAGCTCTCTCTTGCTGTCTCCCTCACTCTCTGATTGTCACTGTCATTGAACAGCCTGGGTTGAAAAGGACCACAATAATCATCCAGTTCCAGCCCCCTGCTGTGTGCAGGGTCACCAACCAGCAGCCCAGGCTGCCCAGAGCCACATCCAGCCTGGCTTTGAATGCCAGCAGGGATGGGGCATCCGGAGCCTCCTTGGGCAGCCTGTTCCAGTGCATCACCACCCTCTGTGTGAAAAACTTCCTCCTAGTATCTAACCTAAACTTTCCCTGTCTCAGTTTAAAACCATTCCCTCCTTGTCCTATCACTATCCACCCTCATAAACAGTCATTCTCCCTCCTGTTTATATGCTCCTTTCAAATACTGGAAGGCCACAATGAGGTCAGAACCTGAGTGCTGAACGTCCCTCCTGCCTGAGCCACCACGAGTGTCCTCGGCAGGCATTTGGCTCTGAAGCTGAACTGAGGTTAAAGCAAAACACGGAGATCTATGCACTGCTCTGAGTGAAGGTGGGTTTCTGGTCTCAGGACTCAGCAGTGTGACCTTCCCATGATCAGATCGCCTTCCTCATGAGCCTGACAGCATATTTCTGCAGATCGCTTCACGCCAACAACAAAGTGCAGACGGCTCTGAGCTGCGTCAGCCTGCAGGCAGGGAGGGCCCTGCAAGCAGCCCTGCCCTGCCAGGCACACCACTTTTGCAGCACCCACTGCATGGGCAGAGCGAGCACAGCCCCTGGAAACCACCAGGACATCAGGACCCGCAGTGCCACCACAGGCCATGATGTAACCGTGGGCTGCAGCAACTCTGACATTTCATGAACTTCCATATTTTTTAATACTTGATGAGAAACGGCACAATCCTTTTCCCTCCAGTCTCTGTCACAAGGTTGCTTAATAGGGTTTGGGCAGTAGCTCAAATAATATTAGAGGATCAAAGCCAACTTTTGAAGTATTAGAGAGATTACAAAGAAATGCATGGCTCATGCCTTCACGGGCACAACATCTACTAGCACCAAACAGGGGAAAGGCTCCTTCTGTGGCCACCCTTTCCCTCTCTCTATGTGATTTAATCAGGGCCCAAAGGTGCAGGACGTGCAGTTTTAATGAAGGATGCCCGGGGGTGGGTGGGGAATCCTTCTTCCCCTCTGCATTTGCACAGACCAGAGGTAGAAATCAGCCTGGAGGCACAAAATGACATCAGAAAAGCAAATAAGCAGCACAAGATTACGGTAGAAAAAGAAAGGAAACTGCGGTATTTTCTTGCTGAAGATTATTTCCTCTCTGACGACAGATTTTTCAAGTGACAGAGGTGTTTTAGTGGGTGGGCCTTGAAGGACCAGTCCAAATAATCAGTCAAAAACAATATCAGGAAGCTTAGCCAATGGTTTGAGCTTGGTACGATTTTACTCATCTGTTCAATTTTAGTTTTAAGGGAAATCTAGGAAGGTGCCAGCTAATTACATTTCTCAACCTCCTTCCCAGCCACGCGGGCGTTACGAGCAGGGTTGGGCTGCCATGTTGTGCCTGCTCCCCACAGCACTCCTGGCTTGGCACAGGGCAGGGAGATGTGCCAGCTCAGGGTGGCATCGCTTCCAAGCCCCTCTGCGTTCTGTGCTGGAGAGGATTTGCTTGGAGGCTGCAATGCCCCGGGCCAGGCAGCACCAATATGGGTCTTCAAGATGGAGCTTCACATTGGATGTAAATCGGCACAGCGTCAGCTCCTCAGGAAATCCGAGCTTGTTTGCTACTGTATGCTGCCATTTTTCCTTCCACAATGGCCAATGATCTAATCCTCTGTTTTCAGCAAAGTTTATTTGCTCTCCGGGAGAGCAAATAAACTCTGATATTGTCATTTACATTGCGGCCGCACACTGCAGGCGAGTTTAAAGCTTCTGGTACAAACTGATAGAAAACACTGAGGACATTTGCATCTCAGCTACTACACTAAAGCAGAAAATGTGAGAGAGTGAGGAGAGCAGTTGCTTATGCACAGAGCACTGTTAACACAAACCATATGCTTCCGAGTTTATCGATGCAGTTTTCACTTGAGTGAACACACTGATAGGCAGTGAAGCACAGTGGTAGATAATGAATGACCAGCAGCATAAAATACAACATGCACATTGCAAGGCAGAGAATTTCAGTCACTTCTGAGTATATCCTACTGCTCCTGGAAGCAGGAAGCAGTGTGTACCCATGTATTCACATCATCTTTCCCTCAGGAATTGCCAAGCATCACCTGGGAAGTGAATCACACAGGTGAAAATAAATGAGTTGGTAGGATAGGTGAAGGAATACTGTATGTTACAGATTTATAGCACTTTCTACCACATTTTTGCTTTTGTTCTTTATTATCATATTTCTACCTATGGTGACACACAATGTAACAGAGACCAAAGCAGATCTCAGCTTCATCCCTTGCAGCAGAGGTGGAATTAGGGGGAATACAGGCTGGTAACATTGCTCCTTCCTTTCTGGTACACAGCACCAAAAGGTAGGTTGGAAAATTGATTGAACACTACGTGGGCTTTTGAGCAAGCAGGTGCCTTGGCTGCTGAGAGCCCATGGGAAGGTGAGAGCTGTAATCCCAGTGAGGACCTGCTCCCATGACAGCCCTGCTGCTTCTTCACAGCATCTGCATAACTACAAATGTGCAACCCAGAGAAATGCAAAGATATTCCTGCCCTACTCTGTTCAGCTGAGCCTGAGCCTATCCTGATTTTGGCACACTAATAAAACTAAACAACTGAAGCTGTAAGTCAGAGAATGAAAGTGTGGTCACATCGTTTTGTATGTGTAAGTTGCTGGCTCTTAACCCTTTTCCTTCCAGGAATTGTCACGTTCCCTATGTCGGCTCCATGGGCATGTTCTCACCACTTTGGCTGGCTTATTAACCATTAACTCCCTTTCCCTTGAGACATCCAAAGAATGGGAACCATAGAAAATCATTTTGCAACTTTGAGATTCATAGGGAAATTTTATCCTTATTAAAATATAAATCATTGGGCAGTTTTATCACTTACACTAAGGCCCCTCTCATTAATCTGAACATATATTCCCCTTTGAGGACATATGCTGCCTTGGAGGATAAAGTGCCACAGGTGATTGAGGGCTGAGTGATTTGAATTAAAAAACATTGCAACATCACAAATAATTCTAGCTGTCCCTGGAGCTCACTGCATTTCCCAAAGACGATCCATAATCCTAAATTATGGAAACAGATAACTAAAAGTTTATATAACTGTCCTGCTAAAGCAAAGCTTCCAGTAAATGAAGACTGTGCAAGGCATACATTAAATAACAGACTGACATTTCCTATTTGATTACAGGATTTTGACCCTGTAGAGGTAAGAGTTTGGAAGAGCTCCCTTCTCCATTCTCTTTTTTGTGTTTGACCGTATCTTTTCGGGTCTAAAACTTTAGCTGGAAGTTAAAGATTCTTTAAATTAGGCACCTTAATTCAGTGAAAATTGAACCACATGGAATATGGTGCTGGAAGTTAAGTTTTCCTTGGCAGATCTTCATGGGTTGCATTTGGATTTCTGGCTATATAGTTACCATTAGCTATGGATTACTCTTTGTAATTCATTATTTCAACATTTCTTCACCTTGCTTCCCACATCCACCATCTGCAGTAGCAATGACTGAAAGCCTACACTCCTATATTTCAAACTACAGTCACTAGCTGGTGGTTTGATTTTAGAATCAGGCTGAAGAAGACAGACAGAAATCTTAAGCAAAGATTTTGGGCACTCAGTGTCTGAGAAAGAGAGAAAAAATGTGAAGGCTGTGTGAATTCAACTCTTCTCAGAGATATAAAACAATTCAATTTCCTTTGTCATATTTCACTCCTTGCATGAACAAACACAGTATTATCCATTATAACTGTGTCACCGGCTGCATTTCTGTATATCCTCTTTGCTTGCAAAGTACAAAATGTATTTATTTGCTCTCTCAAGTCTTATCAAACATGTAACCATCTCCCTTCAGAATTTACATTGGATTTACCGATTCCTTCTACTGCAAACATGCCTTCATTTTTCCTTGGAGATCACAGCATTAGACCTATAAAGATCCAGTTAATGTCTAAACCCCAGAGATTTACTGTGAATGGGAAAACCACCTTTTCCTGATGAATTTTTTCCAGTTGACTTAATGGTTAGAGAAGAAAGGCTAACGTGTGCCAGTTTACATGCATGGAAATGGTGAGACCAACAAAAAGCCCAACAGTTTATTTACAGCATTTCTTCTCATCCAGTGGAAACTGACGGCTTTGATTTGACCAGACTGTGTTTTCTTTGCAAGTACAATACAATCAAGCTATTTTCAGCTGGCAATAAAATCCTTGAGAACCAAAGCAGATTTGGCCACTTTAAGAGATGAAGACTAATGCAATCTGATAATTAGGCCCTTTCACCGCCAAGAAGAAAAACCAATTTAATAACATGCAGCAAGACAGGGGTTAGAGCCTCTGGGTTTCAATTGGCAAGAACTGTGCCTGCAACACAACTCTAATTTGCTTCCACAGGGCATCTGCAGATCTCTGCAAGACTGAGGAGATGCTCAGGAAATGTGAGGAGAAAAGCCTCTCCTTCCACTGCTGTGGCTGAGCTGCACGATGGATCAGAGAAAGCATCCTGCCCTGGGATGCTCCTATTCTTACACCTCCTACACCCGTATGAAACATAAATATTCTGCTTTCCTAGCGCCCTTCTTATCTCCTGAGAGTGTTTTTCTTTCTGCAGAGAGCAGATCTTACCCTGAAAATTCCTCAGGCCATCTCACATAACTCTTCAGCACATCAGAAAGGAGGCAGTGAAATATCCCGCACCCAGACTGCCTTAAAAGAGAAAACATTGAGGGAAGCCAAACAAAGCCTCGCTCACTCTTGAGGGTTAAGTTTTCAGCTGTTCCTCACCCTCTTTGTCCTGGCTGGTTGCAACAGGAAAGAGTTTTTTAGAAACTTTTCTTGTAACTTCAACTTCCCCATTTGAGGGCTTTGGAAGTGCCTCTGCTGAAGCTCAGGCAGGCGAGAAGCGGCTTTGTTACAGTTCCTGTAATCTGTGTAATAGATTCAAATCGATATTTCATTCAAAGGAGAGCTTTCTGGACAGAGCAGCTTGGAGTTTAAGGAAGCTATAAACCAGCCCTGATGTGTGCATTCAAGTCTTCTTCAATACGAAACGCTGGTCTGCAGGGCTGTGCTGCTGTGAATAAGTCTTACTCATCTCAGCGGATCTGGGCTCTCGGGTCCCGTAAGTTAGCAGTGTTAATCAGTCAGTTTGGTGAGTAAGGGTTGAGTAAGAGTCTGCAAGGTCAGGCTTTAATGGGTAATATCTTGTGGGCATTGTGCAGAGATGTGTCCAACCCACCCTCCAGCACACTGCATGTATTTTCAGCAGAGTGCTTCTGAGCCTCGGTGTATCACAGCACCTTTATTTCCACTCCATTTAGATGAGCACATACTTCATCAAGGTGGGTCAGATTGTTGCTATTTTAGCTGCACTGACACGTTCAGAAACACAAGGGATTTTTTGCCATGAATCTTTGTAGCATTTGTCACTATGGACTTCAAATCTGGTGGGTGACTTCAGTCTTACTGGATGAATGAAATAATTGCTGTCTTTCCCTCTTGCAATTTTTTATTATTCCTCAATCACAAGATACTCGCCCAAGTTAGAGAGCTTTTCTTCCAATTAAACATGGACAGAACCACCCAAAACAATGCAGGAACAACGATTGCCCAACGCATCAGGTTGCTCAATGTACACAATCACTTGTCTTTTCTCCCACACCACATACAGCCATGCATCCTGCACACACCACGCTGTGGGCTGCTAAAGGCAGCTGCATTTGGCCATTGTGTTTGTTGCTGCACCAATGCTTCCTCATTCAGAATATGGGGAACTCAACACATACTGTAAATGACAGCAAAAAAAAAAGTGTTTTCTTAGTGTCATTACACAAGAAAGCATTCGGGGACAACATTTTCATTGAGCATTTCAAGACTTGCTCATGTCAGAGTTGCACGCTTACAAAGCTTAAAGCAACCTAATAGTGACTGCAAGCTTTGCTGTAGAAACATGGAATCATCTTTGGAGCCTGTCGGGGACACGGGAAGGAGGGGAGGATCCGTCTGTCCCTACAGATGCTGCTGTTGCAGTCCCAGGTGCAGCTCACAGAGCTCTCACCAACTCCGACAGCCTCGTGTGCTCTGCGTTCAACAGTCACCTTCACTCTGACTTTTCCAGCCCACCGCTCAAGGCTCCGTGTTGCAGCTCAGCTGTTAGCACTGTGCAGGGGACACCTGCCTCGGAAACTCACACCCCTGCACTGTCCATCAGAGCTAGAGTTTGGCAAACTCCAGAGCATGCTTACAAGGCTGTTTTTGTTCCTGCAAGGCTCCTGGCCAAACATTTCATCCCTGTTTTCTTTGTCAGATGTCTTAGGCCACATCTACCATAGGGAGGACAAGCTATTAAATGCCATTTTGATTTCTGCACTTTTCACCCATGGCCGGACAGGACAACCTTCTACAAGTGATGTATGGAACATAGAGATGCACCCAAACACCGCAGCACGCCAATACTCTGCTTGCTCCAAGAGGTCTTAGACCAGGGGACAGAACTTTGCTTTTGAGAGGGACATCAGATATCAGTGTAAGGAGCAGTGATGGAGTGGAGTGTGCTGGACTTGCTCCGGGTGTGTGTGAAGGCTGGGTCTTTGTGATTAGATACCACACATTTCAGCATTTCGTGAAGATGGAACACGACTACCAAAGGAAACCAAACTGCTTTACCCCGCTATTGTTCCTTACTACACGAGGCATCACACAGGAGCCCAAGAGAAGACCAGAGCGAGCAGCCTCACCCGGCATCTTCATAAGCAGACCCACCGAACGCCTCCCCGGAGGGGTAACAGCCGCGGGCAGGTGCTGCCCGGAGCTGCGGGGCTGTCCTGGGGTAGGGCCGTTCCCCGCGGGCTGCGCTCCATCTACCGCGGCACGGAGCCCAGAGGGGGCAGCCCCACATCGCCCCGCATCGCCCCGCACACAGCCCAGCATCTCCCGGCTCACAGCCCCGCATCGCCCCGCACGCAGCCCCGCACCGCCCCCGATCCGGAGCCGTTCTCCCGCAGCCCCGCAGCCCCGCGGTGCGGCCCGGCCTCCCGTTTGCCATTGGTGCGGGGTAGCGGCGAGGGCGGGGCCGACAGGGCCGCTATTAAACATCACATGGCAGCCCGCAAAAAGGGGGCAGCGGCTCATTGAGTGGCTCAGTTGCAAGCGGTGCGGCGGCGGCCGGCGGGCACCTTGGGATTGGCTTGGCTTGCTGCGTCCCCGCGGATCTTAACACCCTTTAAACTATCTAAGCACCTCTGTTTAAGCCACCGGCAGGTAAGGAGCGCTTTCTTTTCCCCATCTATGCGGGACGCCCCGAGGTGCCATCAGGGGTCGGGGCGATGCGATGCGTCGGGGCTTAATGCAGCATTGTCGAGTTAGCGCTTTTCGTGCTCGTGGATCTGTTGTACGCTTCGGCATAACCGCTCGGAGGGGGAACTCCTGCGTTTCTCGTGCACCATACACGAGCTATTCTGGGTGCCTCAAATAATTAGATAGGTATGCTGGGAACACTCGAGCATCTGCTTGCAGCATCTGTTTATGTTCATAACTTTCCATGCACCAGCTGCTCCCCCCGAGATATTTTGTTCGGGGGAAGGGCTGGAAGTTTGCATGACAACTCCGTCGTGCAGACGCAGCACCGCTCTATCCCTTTTGCTCTTCTTGCCTGTTGTTTCCCGTGTAAGACAGAGGTCAAAACTATCAAATCTGAGTTATCAGATGCGTCATTTATAGAGGAGTGTCCGAAATACTTCAGAGGGACATGAAAGGAACCTGTAGCTTCATTCACTGGCTTTATGGGAACGTGGGGTTTTCTTCATATGCGATCATTCTGCCAAGAATGGGAAGAAAGAAACCATATTGCAGCTGGGGAGTGTGTGGAGAGGATGCATTGTTTCAATTTAGTTCGTGACTAGGAAAAAAAATACCGATAAGAAGCGACAGATTTAGCGACGGGGGCTGAGCTGCTCAGTGCCTTTCCGGCGGGGCTGCAGGTGTTGGGGCCGCGCACCGTGCCCGCCCGCAGCACTTGTTCCTCGCTCCAGCCTTACCTTTACACTTGTTTGCTTTTCCATCCTCCCAGCCGGTGCACCAAGTACACCCCCTGGTGATGGCTATTTCACTTGTAGCTATTTTGTCATCAGCTAGAAATATCCCGAACCCGGCTCCTTTGTGGATATAGCAGATGCAAACGCCACTTGTGTCCTTTCTCCTGTTTCTTCATACCCATTTCCCTACATCATCTGCTTTTTTTTTCTCTTTTTTTTTTTTTTTTTCCATTTTATTTTATTTTTACCTCCCACTGCCTGTTGGAGCAGGACAAATCCTCCTTGAAGACAGCTTCGGTGTAACCCGAGTCCTGTCCCGGTAAAGCAGTGCTGGGCAATGCCTTGGAGGTGACCCCGGGGCTGGGGAGCGCAATTGGGCGGTCGTGCCCAGCACTGAGCACGGGCTGTGGGATCGGGCTCTGCTCTTGCGATCATTCTTTGTTCTGTTTACCGAGGGCAGCGGGGGAAGGCTTTGCTAAGGTAGCGCTTCTGCTCTCTTAGCAACGTGTGCCCGGCTCACGGTGCGGGGCTGCGTGGCATCAGCCTGGGAATAGCTGCTCCGAGCGCTCATTAGTGCTCCTCTTCTCCTCTGCTCTTCTGGCACTTAAAGGGTTTTGCTGGGTATCAGACCTTCTGCAGAAATTCCCTCCGAGCTGCTGGTTGTGATGTTTAGATGTGCACTGTAAATGTCTTTCCTCTGGGGAAACGTTTAGGGGGGATGCTTGCTAAGTGGGGGCTTGGGAGTTGCACTGAATTTAGTTTAGAAATGCAGCAGACACAGCACAGGCCCCCTTTCCTCTGTTCCTCCAAGCATCCCCTTGCAGCAGAGCTCTCCCATCCCGTCCCATCCTGATAACACTACATCAGTTCCAGTGCTGGTAATTACAAGCTGCATCACTCTAATCTCACATTCTCTTCCAGCAGGAAAGGTAGCATGCATTAATGACAATAACACACCTAGTGATGATTGAGTTCACAGCTCCACGTGTGCGTGTGTGCCTGGCTGCAGTGTGCTGGGCCCAATTACACAAAGGGCTGGGCTGGTTTGTGGGTTCTGGCTTGGTTTCTTTAGCCTGGTGAGGATTGCAGAGCTGGTCCCAAGCTAGCTGAGCATCCCCGGTGCCTCCAACACATTGCTGCCGGGGTGTGCTGGGGGAACGAGCTCATTTAGCCTTTGAGCAGCAGGTGGATTAGCAAAATAAAAAGTACTGTTAGATTTTCAAGCTTGCTTGATCGCCCGTGGGACTTGGGGGACCACTAATGAAATAGCTTTGTGAGTCAAGGTGAGCACTGACAGGGGATGGAGCAGGACCAGGAGCAGACCCGCTGCCTGCAGTCCCATCTCTTATCCTCCCCGTGCTGAGCGCTCACAGGGAAGAGCCAATCTGTGCCGTGCAGAAATAAAAGAGCTCTCCCACAAGCAGCAGGAGCACGCCAGAGCGTTGTTGTGTGTAAACTTCAAGGAGCAGCCTGCACACTTGGCTAAGCACGTCCCCAGTCACACCTCTGCTATGAGGATCTCAGCATCCAGAGGTGCAGCTCCGCTCCCGGCAGCACACAGCTGTAGGCATCACAGCTGGGCAGACGTGCAGCAGGTAGAAGTGAATGGGATGGCAGCAGCGTGTGCTGCATCGCTCAGCTCCCAAGCTTGTAAATGCAGCCAGCTTGCTGCAGGAAGTTGGCGTTAGGATTTCAGTGATTTATGGAATTCAAACAAACGTCCCCAGGTCAAGACTTTCGCTGGAGGGGGGGCTGCCTGCTCTGACACTTGAGACTTTACAGCTTATCTTTCCCTCCGCTGCAAGTTTTTCCTCTAAAATCCAAGAGACAATGCAGAGGGGAAATAAAACTCTTCAGAATGAGCTGTTTCCTGGGCTGTGTATTTCCATCAGCTCGGAACAAAACAGACTCCAAATGTGGAATTCGAACATGTCTGCAATTATAGGATGTGGTTTAGAAAAGTGATCAATTTGTGAACCAATGCAGTGGTTTTTCGGGGACGTTTTCATGTGGAATGCATAAACAATTTTACTTGCACCCTCTGCTCAGGTTTCTCTAAGTCCTTTCAAGTCCTTTTTTTTTTTTTCTTTTTTTTCTTTTTTTTTTTTTTAAAGTGAGCATTCAAAGAATTCCTTTGTATTTTTGAGAAGTCCCGGGATTAAAAAGGTGTGAGGGGAAAAAGTGAGTCCTTACACTTATCTGACTATCTTGCGTGCGCTGTGTAAGGGCTATACCATCCCATAAATTAAACTGCTGAGAGTTTTACTCAAATGGGACATAACTGAACCCATCCAAAGCTGCCAAAATGTCTTGTTTGCTGCTGCAGTCACAGATGAGTAATCTCAGCAAGTGGGCGGCGGGACCCATTGCACAACAAACAGAAGTGAGGAAAAAAGGGAAGGTAAAAGTAAAACTCAAAGAGATCCTCCAGGGAAAAACATCCTGCACGCAACTGCAGGCACGCCGTTGTTTTCTGTTTATCACCTGCTCTTTTTCCCAACAAGTGTTTGCTGACCTAAAGCCCTCATAATGCGGTGGAAGGATGTGGGAGGGCCAAGGAACTGCTTGAAATCCCTTCAGTTGCTGGAACACCTCTGTGAGGCTCTGGGGGAAGGAGATGGACTGCTATCTGCTGCAGTTGTCAGGCTGAGTCAGAGGAGCAGCCGTGGTACTGAGGCTGTGCCATGGGCAGAGGTTGTGCTCTTTGACAGCGATAGATGTGTTGGGTTTGGGACAAACTCAGATGAGTTGTGATTATATTGATTTATGAAGAGGATGGTGATTTAATCCCCCACCAATGTAAACAGTACTTAAGTCTCCTCTTCTAGGGTAAATGGATAGCAGACATTCCTCGCTGCTTGGTTTTGGTTTTATTTCCTCCATGAGGTGAATGTATGGATGGAGCAGTTGCATTAATGCATCTCTTATCCTCTGCAGTACTTCAATTACATTTCCTGATATACAGTACATGACTTAATGGATGACGCACTTGTTAAAAGCTAAACCTGGGTCTAAGCCAGACCTCCCTGAAACAAGTCTGGTAGCTTCTACCCTCGGGAAGAAGGTTCTGCAGCCTCTATGCTGAGCCTTAGTTGCTGGCATCCAAGACCTTCAGGTGTTCTGAAGATGCCCATGCAGTCCTACCCCCATGCAGTCCTACCCCCATGCAGTCCTACCCCCATGCAGTCCTACCACTGGAGCCTTCTGTCATTCCCATTCACAGAGGGCCATTATGATGTTTAGTTTCTCCCTACAACTCACCCTAATGTGAGTGTAAAAACCAGCCCAAACGCAGTGAATTGATGGAGTTAAAGGCACTGATGCAGCCTGTCTTCCTGCCATTCACAGAAAACACACAACTCCTTTTATAACTCCCACTTAATAGAAAAATGTAAGTTCTGTGCGGTGTAATCTCATGGAAATAACTGATATTTGCATTTTCCAACTTTATTGTTTTTCTCAGTAGATGTTGTCTTCCCTTTGTACACTCTCTTGTTTGACATAGGTAAAGCAGTCCAGGAGACAGACACTGCACGTCGTTTAAAAACCTGCTTCAGTATTATTTGAACAGAGAGAGGCTAATGCTAATTATTTGTTGCAAAATAAACAAAAAGCCCCGTTGCAAACAGTAGATAGATTCTCTGCATGCCTAACTTTAAAGTGGAATACTGCTTAGAGACTTGTTTGACATGATCATTTCAGGGCTCTCATTTGGGAAGAGTGGCTGCTCTGCAGTAATGATGTCACTTTGGTCAACAGATAACTGAGCTCAGAGAGCTCACACATTCCAGCAAATGCTGCCATTAAGAATAAAGAAACTTCCTGCAACTTCAGAGGAGTGATTTTTACATGATTCTCACAGGCTTGATTCATTATCCTTTTCCTCCAGGATCTAATATGCCATTTCTCTTTCTCTTACAGACCATGCCCTCTCTATGACGGTTACTTGTTAAGCTAACTCTGCATGCCAGAAGACTGTCCTTGGTTGATCCAAGGGCTTTTGGGGATTCCAGCCTCTCCCCAGTTTTTCTGTGTGTGTGTGTTCCTCTAGAACTTTCAAAACTGTTTCTCCAAAGGGTTTTGCAGAAACTTAGACTGTTTTCTAAAGCAGAAGCACCTCAGTCCACAGCAGTAGTGATGGGCAGCGTGCGAACCAACCGCTACAGCATCGTGTCTTCGGAAGAGGACGGCATGAAGCTGGCAACCATGGCCGTCGCCAACGGCTTTGGGAATGGAAAAAGTAAGGTACACACGAGGCAGCAGTGCAGGAGCCGCTTTGTCAAAAAAGATGGCCACTGCAACGTCCAGTTTATTAACGTGGGTGAGAAGGGACAGCGATACCTGGCAGACATCTTCACCACTTGCGTGGACATCCGCTGGAGGTGGATGCTGGTTATCTTCTGCCTGACATTCATCCTCTCCTGGCTTTTTTTTGGCTGTGTGTTTTGGTTGATTGCGCTGTTGCACGGGGATCTGGAGAACCAAGAAAATAACAAGCCTTGTGTCTCTCAAGTGAGCAGCTTCACTGCAGCCTTTCTGTTCTCCATTGAGACCCAGACCACGATCGGCTACGGCTTCAGGTGCGTCACAGACGAGTGCCCCATTGCTGTTTTCATGGTGGTTTTCCAGTCTATAGTGGGCTGCATCATTGATGCCTTCATCATTGGTGCCGTCATGGCAAAGATGGCTAAACCAAAAAAGAGAAACGAAACTCTTGTCTTCAGCCACAACGCCGTGGTGGCCATGAGAGATGGGAAACTGTGCCTCATGTGGCGTGTCGGAAACCTGAGGAAAAGCCACTTGGTTGAGGCACACGTACGAGCACAGCTCCTCAAGTCCAGGATCACGTCAGAAGGGGAGTACATCCCTTTGGATCAAATAGACATCAATGTAGGGTTCGACAGTGGGATAGACCGCATATTCCTAGTCTCCCCAATCACAATAGTACACGAAATAGATGAAGACAGTCCTTTATACGACTTGAGCAAACAAGACATGGACAATGCTGACTTTGAAATTGTAGTCATTTTAGAGGGCATGGTGGAAGCCACTGCCATGACTACCCAGTGCCGCAGCTCATATCTGGCAAACGAAATCCTCTGGGGCCACCGCTATGAGCCCGTACTCTTTGAAGAAAAGAACTACTACAAAGTGGACTATTCGAGGTTCCACAAAACATACGAAGTGCCCAACACACCCATCTGCAGTGCCAGAGACTTAGCAGAAAAGAAATACATTCTCTCAAACGCAAACTCCTTTTGCTACGAGAACGAAGTGGCCCTCACCAGCAAGGAGGAGGACGAGATCGACACGGGGGTACCCGAAAGCACGAGCACAGACACCCACCCCGACATGGACCACCACAACCAGGCAGGAGTGCCCCTAGAGCCACGGCCGCTGCGGCGTGAATCGGAAATATGACTGGCGAACAATTCCTCTCTCTTTCAGTTGAAAGGAAAGAAAAAATAAATAAACAGCTATCGGTCAAAGGCACGCTGACCTGAGAAGTTGGCCCAGAACAGTTTTCAGACAACGGTACTGTTGAAGAGCGGCGTGAAGGCAAGCAGACCTGAGAAACCCCGGCTGGTTTGAGGGCTGTCCTCAGAGGAGGGACGACAGAGAATGAACTCTAAACACAAAGCACTAAACATGTCTAAGTATGAACAGAAGGCACATATGTTGTAGAATAAATTATGTATATATTTTTTTACAAAACTTGAACTTGCAGGCAAGCTTTGGTTGGGTTATTATTATTTTTTTTTTTTTTTTCAACTTTTTCCAGAATGCTTCTCTCTAGGGAACAAGAATGTTTTTAATGGCATAACAAAGGCAAGAATCTGCCTTATTATTATTATTATAATTATTTTTTAAAAAGCTGCTGCTAACTACATGAACACAAATGGTTATTTTTGTTGCAGTGTAGTTTTTATTTTCTCTTGAGTAATTTAAAAAAAAAAAAAAAAAAAAAGGGAAAAAAAAAGGTCAGTGTTGAACTTTTTGGGGTTGAAAAGCTTGTGATCACTTCAGAGAGGCCGACGTTGCCAGAAAGTCTAAACTCTTTTTTTGAGGCCAGTAGTTTGATAGCTAGAATCAATTTCTCTCTTTCCAATTACATAAGGGGCATTATGTAATATCAGGCCAATCAGTAGCCTCCAGCAAAAGTATGATTTTTGGGGGGAGAATTTAATTCTCTGTCTAAAGGAAGCGATGAAATAAAAGATTATATATATGCATCAGAAAAGTACTAAGTTAAAACTACCTACGAGGATACCAAAGAAAATGCAGTTTTGCACAGTGGAGTTTATTTAAGGAAAAAAAAAAGAAAAAAAGAGGAAAAAAAAAAAAGAAAAAAAAGAGAAGGAAAAAAAAAAAAAAGGAACAGGCTGCTTTAAACAAACAAAGAATTTCAAACCTCAGACACTTTTTTTATTTTTGTTTGTTCGTTTTGATTTCTCTTTTTTTTTTTTTTTTTTTCTTTTTACAACTTTTATTTTTGCACCTTATTCTAAAAGCTTAAGACTCGGATCTATAGTGAGCTAGGGGTCCTCCCCACGCCCCTCCTCTGTAATGGAAGAAATCCCCTTCTTGTTTAAGGGGAAGCACAGCGGGGTGATGGCAGACAACAGACCCCCATCCCCTGCTTGCTCACCGGGTGCAGCAGTGCCCCATCTCAGCCCCAGCACCCTGAGCCACTGGATGTGCTGCTGGGGTGACACCTGGCCAGAGCTGCAACACAGCATGGCTGGAGAGGGCATTGCATAAAGAGCCAATGCATAAACCTCCCAAAGAGGAAGTGAGAGGGTAGCGGAGAGGGAAAAAAACTTTCCTGATGCTTGGGAATGGCACAGGGGTGATGAGTTTATAAGTTTTTGTGAAGATGATTCTCTCCAGCAGGGCGAAGGTGTCGGAAAAAGTGAGGCTGTAAAGCGTGTTCCTGCCTCCTGTTCTCCACAAATATCAATGACCGGTGGATGAGAAGCACCACTGGGCTCTGAGCACACTTTGGCTCTGTGGTGTTCGGCTCCTTTGCCCAGGCTGTAAAGCCTCTGTGTCTCCAAGCTGAAGGATGCACTGCCTTTGTGGCACGGCTGTTTGCTGCAGAGGGGAGGTGATGGGGACAGCAACTCTAGTCCACTGTTACAGTATTGGATCACTGTATGCCATTAAAAAACAGCTTGTTCTAGGTGTAACGTCTTCTGCAAACAGACATCTGTGAAGGCTGCTGGCCCCTTCCAGCCCTGCCTGAAAGAAATGCCTGCAATGAAACGGTGTCTGGTCAGATGGGATCTGGGTGTGAAATGGTGGGAATTTGACATTGTAAACGTAGACTTGGTGACTGGAGAGGGCAGATGATTGAGTGCACGTAGAAGGCGGTGACTGGGGTGGGGGGAAGTAATGGAGAGCTGAATGCAATGCGACTCGGTCGCAGTTTCTGGGTCAACGTTGGTGAAAACAACTGAGTACTGCCAGTGCTGCTATTGTGACATACTTGTAAAAGGAAATACCTAAACCAAAGAGCATTCAGTGAAACAGAGGGGGCATGAAAATGCAAAGGGGAAGGGATGGAAGTGGGACGCCAAGGAGGAAGAAAGGGTCCTCTCCTCCAGGTCAGTGTTCCCAGGAGCACAGTGCTCTGCAGGATGATACTGGAGATGCCCAAGGGAAGAGATGGGGGAGAAGGGGATGCAGGATTCTGCTTGTTTTTCTAAAGAGAAATTCAGAGGGGGAAGAAAAAAAAAAAAAAAAACAACAGAAAACTACAAAGATCCCCTCCCCTCAACATTTCTGGTGCAGAAGTTTGGGGTTTGGGTGTTGGGGTTTTTTTTGTTTTGTTTTGTTTTGTGGTTTTTTGTTTTGTTTTGTTCTTTTTTGTTGTTTTTCAAGTCGGTTTTTCAGAACTATTTTTAAAATGTACATTTTATAAAGTTTATCAAGTATTTTCATATTTAAAGCCAAATGTAAATAGCAGTCTGTAAAGGAGGACAAGGAGAAGAAGAAAAAGAAAAGGCCACAAGAAGTATAAATTCTGCTCGGCAGTCTCGGCTAGCTAGTACCTAGATGCTACCGGTTAGCATGAGTTTTAGCAAATAATTGCAAGCCTTATAGGATTCCTAATGCTATGAACTCTTTATTTATTTTTACGCATGGACTTTTGAGTTGAAAACACGTTCTAGCTACTGGCATTTTTAAATTTACCAGCTGTCCCAGTGCTAGTCTTACTGAGGGTGTGCATCGAGGCAATCTGTGGCACTCTCTGCAGAGTTCTTTTTTCCTCTTTTCTTTAACCACCCTTTGTCTTTGCTGATGGACTCTCACATTGCAGAGCTGCACTCAGCCTCTGGCTCTGGGAAGCTGCTAGAAACTGACCTGCAATGTGCACGCTGTGGTACCCTTCCTTCCCCTCGTCCATCATTCCTGTTTTTACCAACATGCCTTGGTGAGCCCAGTGTAGGACCGACTATCGTAGCACACTTCTACAGCAGCAGCTGGGTTGGTCAATTGGAAAATGTTATTTTTAAGGAGTACAGAGTGGGTGACAGCATTTGGTCCATTTCTGATGATCCTGGGTTAAGCTGATGTTTAAGGAGGGGCCCTTTGGACTGACTGAGCTCTACCCGTAGGCTCCTGCAGGGCTGCTCTCTTTACCAAGGACAAAGTTGGCTCAGCTGGGGCGCACAGAAGGTTTATACTGTATTTTGCTTAGGGTCTGGGGGGAATATGTTATTTCTGCCCTTCCCTGAAAATACTTGAACGAGACACTTGATGTCTGAAACACAATACTGCATACAGTCACAAAGAGCATGTCTGAGGAAGGTTGGGATCTCTTCTTTCCTCTGTCTCTTCTGTGCAAGCCGTCTGCTGGTAGGTAACAGGAGTCAAGTCCTTATTGGCTGTACTTAATGATACTCGCCCAGACGTGCTAACACTTGTGTGGTTCGTTTAGCACTTGCTTTTCCCAGGAAAGACAAAGGGTCCAGGCATTTGATTTGTTCTCTTAGGTCTTCTTTTTCATAATGGATTACAAGGTAAAACTGAGAAGTACTGTAATGTCTTTAAATTATGGCTGCTCATGACCCTTGTAAAGTAGAAGGGTGCTGCGTAGTTGCCATCCCACAGCCAATGAGAAACTGATTTTGTAATGACTTTTGGCCTCCAACTATTGTAAGGTGAACAATCTAGACATCTGACAGTTGTCCATTACTATTTTCCTGTTTGCAGCCTTTTTGTATCAAAGTCTTCCTAATGTACTGCACAAATTGTGGATTGTACAGATTTTTATATATTATGTCTTATTTTATTATTTCTAAATAAATAAAAAAAAAAAATTGAGAATGAAGTGGTGTATGCAGCATGCATGTGAATGAACAGGACGTTATAATACAGCTGTGTTTATGCCTGTCCCTGAGCACAGCCATTGTCTGAAGCCTTTAGGAAGAGACAGGTCGTTCTCTCCCTTGACAAAAGGCAGGAGGAAAGGTGATACGGTCATTATTTGCCAGATGGGAACACAAACACGACGCTGTGCAGCTTGCACCAAAAGAAGATCTGTCCCAGAGAGACTGACTGGCTTTCTTCAGGTCATACCTGAAACTGCAGAGCTCCACATCATTAGCTACAAGTTGTCTGAAACAGAAAGAAAGCTCAAAGTCTACATAAACTACAAAGCGTAGGGAGAGGGGAAGTGAATGTGCACAGCATAAGCCAGCGTACTGGAACGTTTGGAAAAGGATTAAAAAATTAAGCAAGAAACATCCTCAGTTCCCCATGTTTCATGTGTCCCTGGAGCATCCCACTATTGAAATGATGCTCTTCATTTGAGCTGAAGTGCAAACACATTGTCTGTCATCTCCATACAAGCCTAATTTATCCAGAGCCCTGAGCCTTTGGAGCTGTGTTCTTGTGCAGCAGGACGGGGAGGTGCAGTGGAACAGGCCTTGGGGTAACAGAGTGGGGGCTGTGCGCCCATCCTGGTGGGTTGGGAAGCTCTGTGCCCATCCCAGAGGGCTGGGGAGCTCAGTGCTGTGTGTGTGTGTGTGTGTGTGTGTGTGTGTGTGGCCTCCAGGGCAGACACTGGAGCTGCGCAAGGGTGACTCAGCTCGAAAATGCTGATCTAACTGGAATGCAACGCTCTGCACAGGCTGGGGACGGCTGTTCAGTGCTGCAACGCGGCTCTGACCTCTGCTGAATTGTCCAGCTTTTCATCAGTCTGTAATGCTCGTTAAATACAGCTCGTAAATGAAGCCTCTGATAGAGCCCTGACCTTATCTAGAAGAACTCCTTTTATAAATTCAAATTCTCTTTTCAAAATCTAATGGTCTCTCGAAAAGCTGATCATAATAATTGCAGGGCTGGATTTAGAGGCACAGATTGGCTGTCACAGCCTGGATCCGCTTACAGCCCTGCTGAAATCCTCCTCCAGACAGCCCCGAGCCCTGGCTTGCTGTTTCCAGCTTCTGTGTGCAGTGGGCAGGGGCTTCATACTCTCCCTTGCTGCTGCCCTTCCCTTCTCTCGCTGAACACTCATCCAGGCAGGTGCATTCAGCATAGGTATGGCACAGCAAAGTGCACTAGAGGCAGATGTATGGACCAGCTGCTCCCTCTTTTTCCTGTCTACTCACAGAATGAGTAGTGCTCGCAGATGGTTTTGACATGCCAAACTCATGCTGAGGGCTGCAGGCTTCCTATTGACCAAAAGTGTTTAAAGGAATGCCCATGCTTTCAGAGAACGCTGAAGCTGAACTCACAGCTTCAGGGGAGCCAGTTTCATGGGTTTAGACCCTCGGCAGGTGGAGGCCATCCTCTGCAGTGATATTCCACTGAAAGTGGAAGGAAAACCACAAAAAGAAGTACAAGGAAAACCAACTGAATGGTCATGGAGTTGAGCTGTGGCATTTTGCTCCATGCTGTTTGCAGTTGGATGAAACCACAGCTCGTAAGGTAGACCTCATCTTGTAAGGAGCTAGAAGCAGTTCATCACCCTCATGGCCACCTGAAACCAGGAAAGCCCTTCTCTCTGTTTCGTCCATAGCACTGCCTTCACTTTGTCCTCTCCTGAGGATGCTGAGATGCTTCTACTGGTTTGCCAGTGTTTGGGGACAGGACAGAAAAGTGAAAGCAATGAGGATTATGGAAAGTTCAAGAGTACAAAAATGAATGATGAGTCTCAAATATATCATCATCTCAAATATATCATTCAAAGTTTTCTCTAAAGTACAGTCTTAAATCCAGCACCACCATTGGCAGTGTTACTGAGCATACAAGTGCAGGCTGTTCCATGCAAGCCAATGCTTTTTATAGGCTTGGATGGGCAGGACAGGAAGGGACCAGAAATACACCTATTTC